CTCTGACCACTGGTTGTTCAAGTATATTATACAAGAGGCTTCCTTTAAAGGTGAGGGAGATTTTGGTGGATAGGATGAAGCTAGATCAGATATGAAAAATTGTGCATTCTAGATTTCCCCCCAGTAAGGCAATTCCTAAAATAAAACTGGATGATATTTTAGGCAGCCTCAGAAATCACATTTATCCTTTACTTGCAGTTATTTCCCATCTACAAATGGGTTTCAAAGGTGATCTAGGAGAGGCATGGAAACACTGCAGGATGAAGAGAGAATAACTGAAACATGGCTTACTTTGTTGGAAGACAAACATTGGCACAAGTATGTGTTTATATACAGAACTCTATATTGATATAAAGTGCTACTGTGAATGTGAAGAGATAACCTGTAGAAATAATTCTCTTTTTCATCATATGGAACTGTAATTGTCATATTAAAATAAACTAGTATTTATCAGTATATGCATTAATGCAGGGTAAGATTACTCTGTAATCAAAACTCCTAGTTTATCATAAATTCAAAATACTCTGGTGCATTATTGAATCATACTTAATTATCTATATTTAATTTATATAGAATTCTGTAAAGCATAATGTTAAAAAACAGAAAAATCATTTCCAAAATATTTCACCATTATTCATTTACAGATCTTATAACTGAAAAAAAGAAAAGTTTTTATGTTGAACTGACAATTGAACAAGTCATGAATGGGAGAGATCCAGGGTATGTTCCTTTTTTTTTTTTTCCAAATAATTTTATTAAGAATTATAAATGAAAAGAATCAAAGCCAATACAAGCTACAAAAAATACAAACAGAAAAATACAGAGGGTTATGATCCTTAACTTGCTGAATTCTGTGCTATTTTTATTAAGTAAACAATTGTTAGGATACATTTAAAAATGCAATAAATTTGATCATGTAAACTCCACTCAAGAGACTTGGAAAATACTTGAATTAAAGTTCAGTCAACTTTAAACACTATGTTAATATTGCCCAAGAAAGATATAATTGGTTTACATTGGTCCACAATGTATTCTGCATTCCTTCAACCAGAGTAGACTGAACTGAAGGGTTAGGGTTAACAGAACCTCCTCCAAGTTCAGATCAACTAGTTGTTACATGCATACACCTATACTGTTTTAATGCAAAAGTACAGAAGTGCTTTGCAAATGCCATTTTCCAAGATTCTTTTTCAATTTCCCAGTCTAGTCTACAACCTTGGGATTTCCTTGCGGGCTTCTATCCTAGTACTAACCAGGTCTGATAGGGTTTAGCTTTATAAAGATAATCTAAATTTGGCTAGATGATACCATTGCTGTTAGTGATTTTAATTAACAGAAAGTATCCACTGATATTTCACATAATTTATTTTATTTAATGACCTTATACCCTGCCACAGTCAAGTGACTCACAGCAGCTTCCAAGGTATACAATACAATAACAATAACAATTACATCCACAGTAAAAACACCAACATGGATGACAAGAGAAATCAAAGTAAATAAAAAAATGATACAATGCATTAAATCAAGAATATACTCTCTTAAATAATTCAGTTTTCAGTAACATCCTGAAAGCCAGCACAGAGGGAGCAAGTCTAATCTCCAAGGGAAGCCATTCCTAAACAACAGCACCACCACAGAAAAACAATGCTGCCCAGCCTTGGCTTCTCTCACTTCACAGAGGCACAGGACCAATAACAGCTGTTCCTAAAAGATCTAATGAGTCAAGCCAATTCTGACTGGAACAGGTACTCCGAACCATGTGCCATTTTGCAAAAATTAATATGCTAATTTGTATTCAGAAACCTATCAATAATCAGTGCATGACCTACAAAATTGGAGTTATATGCTCCCACTGCAGGAGCCAACAAGTAGAGAAGCTGCCATATTCTGGACCATTTGCAATTTCCAAATAAACTATAAGGGCAGGCCTAGGTAAAAGCATAGTAATAAGGGCACGAGTTACTATAGCCAGGTCCTCCTACACCAGGTAGGGTTGCAATTAGTACATCAGCTATAGCAAAGTTCTCTCTATCCACAGCTTCTACATGCTGTTCTAGCAGGAGCTGAGAGTCTATAAGGACCCCCAATCCTTATTGTCTCAATCCCATTTATGGGGCTAACTCAAACTGAAAAGGGTCCAGAGAATCTATTTCACCCAGGGTATCCCAAAGTTGGTCTGCTTATCCTTCTGTTCATTAAAATATGGTGTTTATAACTTAATTAACCACTTACAGCAATTAGAAAGGCATACTTCATGTAATGTTTACATATTACTTTTACTATTTAAGGAAAAGGGATAAAATTATCATGATCTCTGTCAAGCTGCAGGCGAAATGTATTTATTTATAGTCCATGTTCAATATTTACAAGATGACATAAAACACATGAGATATAAAGCAGCAATATAAAATAACAATAAAATAGAACTTATAAAGAAAGGCCTGAAGCAATTAATAGCATAAGGGAGGCACCAGATTTCTGCAAGCCACAGCTATTGTTAAAAATTTAACAACCTTGTTGGTAATAGCTGAAATTTAATTCCCTAGGAGAAAAACTATAACCTCTTGTTCTGAGGAACAATTACAATTTCTAGCAATTGGTGCTATGAGTTCTGTTGTATAGAGGGCACTCTACCCGTACCATGTGAAACAGATTCAACTTCTGCATGGAACATAAAGAAGTGCAATTTTCATACAGGATACCACTTGTTGCCCTTCACTGATTCAGTGAATTCACTGATTCAGGCAAAGGTGAAGTGTGAGAAATATTATAAAAATATCTGGGAACAGAGTAGGGGAAGCTAATTATTCAGCTGTAATGGAGGTGGGAAACTCTGGTTCTATCTGTTTGGAGATCTAGGTCCCAGATCCTCCGGTGAAGAACACAAAACTAAATCCCTCACTCAACGCAGTATGTTTAATTTATTAAACATAATATTAAAATTAATTCAAATGACTTTTTCAAGGTTTTCAATTTTTTTAAACATAGCAGACATGTCTACATGATGTTAAACATACAGTGCCTACAAAACTTCTAAAACTTGAACTTACCTTGAAAATTTATTTTTATTCATCAACTTAAGTGGAAATATTTTTTCCTGACTTCTTCCATTCTTAGCTGATTTCTAAGTTTTGAGTGAATAACACAGAACAACTGTATAGTAATATGTACTTTAAAACTATAGGGTCAGCTTTTCAAAATTTGAGAGATTATAATTTCTCGTTGTATATTCATAAATGAAGAAGCTCAGATTCAAAGTGCTTTGAATTTCACAATATAAGGGAGTAACTTCATCTAATATATAGTGAATAATCCCATACATCATTTTCAAGTGCTGGACATCAACAAATGATGTCACATAATGGTATGGCTGACTTTATAAAAGCATACCCAGTGGGTTACATGAACATAATCTAGTAATGTCATAGGTACTTTGGGTCTCAAGTGCTCGCTGCTTACCTCTGCTGGACACAGCTAAAATGTTTCTGCTTCAGCCCCCTATTTTACTCAAGTCCTCAATATCTGAGGAACAACTTACTGATATCCATGCTATGGCAGCAGTAACAGCTTCCCACTACCACTACCACCAAAGTTAGGAAACTATCCTTATATAGGGGATTGAGATTGCTTGCAGGAAAATATATTGATTTTAGATCTTATATCTCTTCAATGGGATGTACAAAACATTCTGAATCTAAAAGGTTGTTCCAATTTTACTGGAAGTGTTTCAACATTGTTCCAACCCATTCCAGAAATATTTTGAGCTCAGAACATTTCTAGAATGATTGTAACAGCATCAGAATACCATTGATAAGGTCAGACAAATTATTCTGAACAAGGCATTTGGAGCATGATACATTCCAAATCTGAAACATTTTGCAGTAGTCTCTATTAAATTGCATATATAATTAACATACCTGATCAAATTAGTTTGTCTGTCTCTCTCTCTCTCTCTCTCTCTATATATATATATAAAAATATATAAATAAATAAATAAATTCCTTTCTTTGCTATGTTAGCAGAAAACAAAAGGAATTAAAGCATGACAGCAAATAATTTTGATGGCTCCTTTTCACCATAGGTTGCAGAAATAAACCAGATTATGAGGAACAGTGAACACGCCACTTTAAATGACAAAAACAAACTGATTATGATTATGTGCTGTCAAGTTAGTGCTGACTCTTAACAACCACACAGATATTCTTTAGGAGGAAAAAAATAGGCCAAAATATATATTCAGTGTATATTTGCTTTTTCCTCTCTAATTCTTAGTATTTTAGTACTTCAAAATGGTGATTCAAAGTATAAGGCTATTAGACCTACATTTTCAGAAAGGCAGGGCAAAAAAGCAAAAGACTGGATTCAGATATGGTTATGTTCTGAGAAGACTTACTGTAATCAATGGGACAGGTAAATCAATCTAAGTCCAGTTCATTTTAACAGATCTACCTTAACCATTACCTAATTCTTGATCAATACTAGTATCAATTTCAAACCTTGAGGGGTCCTTCATCTTGAATATACTTCATCATGACAGGGAGCACTGAAAGCTAACCATTCAGTTACTCTTATATGCCAGAAAGAATAACTGACAATAAATGTTTTAGCTGAAGAACTGACAGCTTTTTTTTGTTTCCTTTCCCCTACCAAAAATCTTCAGAACTTGAAGGCAACTTAATGAATTAATGGATTGGGAGGGGGGAATTGGCCTAGGGTCAAGCACTATCATCTTTTTGACAGTCCATTTATTAAAAAAAACACACACACAAATACATATAAAATAGGCACCCCCCTCCCAAAAAATATTTAATTATATTTTAGTACTATAGATGAAAACAGGAGTTTAAGACCAAAATACAAATGATCCTTATAGCAATACATTGTGAGTGCCACAGAATTTCACCAATCTAGTTAAGATACCGAGTAACTTTACAATGCATTACACTTTCTATCTGAATGTTATATTTTTGAATGGCATTTTAAAAATATCTACTTGCCTAGCAAAACCTTGGCATCTTCCATATCAAAATCACCATCACCATCAGCATCATAGATCCCAAGTTTTCCTAAAGGGGCAGAAATTAATCTGTTTCAGAATTTTTGAATGACATGAAATTAGCAAAGAAGAAAAAGAAGTAGCAGTTGAATATTTTCCACCAGAATCTTAAAATGCAAATGCAAGCCATTTTGAACATACATATTGTTTCTTCTTAAAATAAAGTATATCTGAACATACATATTGTTTCTTCTTAAAATAAAGTATATCTGAATCTGAAATCCCTTCATAATGCTAAAATAACACCTCAGTATCTACTAACATTAAAGAAATGATTTTGTATTTGGAATGTTTGTGCAAGGCAAATGATACAATGGCTACAATCCTGTTCTTTTCACATCAGCGGAAGCCTCTGACTTCAACAGGAATATGACTCTTCTTAACAAATAACTAATAATCTAGTTAGTAATATAATTAGTATGATTGCATACTAATATATTTACATATCTAATGCCTAAATATGTGACACAGACAGAAAATCAAATGCAGATTCTGTTTTCAGGAATTTTGCATTCAGGAATAAGGTAGATATAAGCAATATAGAGATGTAGTTGCTCCAAAGGAAATTTGTGAAATGCTGCATCTGGAATACTTGCAGAGTCATAGCCTAGCTTAATCAAAAGAGGTTTAGGATACATTTTTTTAGAGCAACACACTCCAAGTTGGCAAAAACTAGGGACTATTACCAACTGAAAGGGGGAAAAAGTGGAAAATATTTTTCAGCTCAGGGTTTAACAAATTAAAACCACCACTGGAAGGCTTGCACAGCTGTTTCAACAGTTGTCCCTTGTGGGGACCATCAGTGAAGCAAAGTGGCTGTGCATGACCAGATGCAAAAAAGAGCCGGGGTAGCTTTCATAGCACTGTGAAAATTATATTGCTTCAAGGGTGCATACATTACTTGGGCAAACACATTCTACAAAATACCTCTTTTAAATGTTTCGTATACCCACATTGTTTCAAAATAATGCAGAATAGCACTTTTCCTAACACCTTCTTTCCATATAATCACCTCCATATAATCTCAAAATACAGGGATAAATTATTAAAATCTATACCTGAAAAAAGCCATGCAGGACAAATGTTCAGAGATTCTGTCGAGAACACCTAAATTGATTTTCATAGCCTTGATACTGGAGGTTTGTTATAATCTCCCCATATAGCCAGGTTGCACAAATTCCATTTCACAACAATATACGAACATAAAGTTTGATACAGGAAAGCAAAACACAGTTTCATCCCATTTCTCAAATTTCTATTCCCTTCCCAGAAAAATTAAAATCAAGACGAAAAGAGTAAAATATTTCTATATTATTTGGGCATCTACCATTTTGCACAATCTAATTAACCAAATGTCCCCAAACAACATTATGTAGGGAAAAGCAAAGAAAAGCCAATATCCTGTAAGTTATCCATAGAAGTTTGCCTATGGCATTAAAATATTGAACAAACTATCTATCATGTGGGTCTTATGAGGTGAACATCAACAACAAAATACTGTTCAGGTGATCTACTTCTTTCTGCCACCTATTTCCTCTTTTCAGAATCAATTCCACAAGCCAGGGGAAAGAAGCTAAATATTACATACTCAAAAACAATGTAAAAGAAGAAAAAACTGAAGGATAAACCAGAAGAAAATCAGACCTATTCTCTTCAGAAATTGAAAACAAAGGGTAATAGCAGTTTTTCTTACTAAAGTTAATTTCACCAGAGCTTCAAAGGTTATCTAGAAATAAAAGTATCTTGTCTAGGAGGAAAGAAAAAAAATAGCCTTATTTTTTAAAATAAAATTGTACAAATCAACCTCATGAAGTATAATGCATAATAGAAGCATTCCTCTATAATCCTACCTTGGAGTACTTCTGACAAGTTATAACGGAAGTCCTTTGCCTTGGCTGCATGCATAGCAAAAATACAGATACCATTACTCACATTATCAGAACCCAACAATTCTCCACCCTTTCAACTTGCAAATTCATTTCCTTCTCTGCCCCCTTAGGCTTATCATATTAGTAGTTATATATACAATATATCTAATATATTCCTGGATCTCTACTTTCCTAATCTAATTGCTTGTATTTTAATATTTATTTATTTTGTGCCTTCAAGTCAGTCTTGAGTCATGGTGACTACATGGACAGGTTGATGCAGTTTTCTTGGTACCATTTTCAGAAGGTGTTTGCCATTGCCTTCTTCCCAGAGCTGAGAGTGAGTGACTGGCCCAAAGTCACACAGCTGCTTTGATGTCTAAGGCAGGACTAGAACTCAGGTTTCCCTGTTCCTAGTTCAAAACCTTAACTCCTCGTCCAAACTGGCTCTCTTGCTTTGATTTATTTTTACTAAAAAATGGTAAATGTAAAATGAGTAAGAATTTTATTGTTAAAGTCTTGATTTAAATATGAATAGGAGCTATTCAAATATGAATAGGAGCTAGCTGCCTAGGATTATTTTATATAACATGGGCAGCCATAAAAATATTTTATATACATAAAGTATCTAGGAAATTGAATCTTAAGGTTTTATTATTATTACTGTGACTGAATTCTTACCTAGTACTTCCTCGTAATCAACAAGTTCAAACCATACTACTGCAACTGATGTCCACACTCCAAGAAGAGCAATTACCATGAACCATGTAAAAAAAGAGCTTCCAGAAACTCCTTCTTTCTTGCCACTCTTGTTTCCACCATGTTTTGCCTCTGTAAGATAAAAAATGAAGTATTACCAGAAGTTAAATTCACTTTGGAAATGAATTACTACCTAAAATTCATAACATAGAATATTTTAATGTTACTAAATACATGACCTTATTTCTAAAGTTTGTCCACTGATTAAAAAAAGATAAATTAATTTGTTTCAAGGTTATTTCAATACGCAGCATATATTTCCTAGTTGGCAGGATGTAGGTAATAGTATGTTGACTTGCAAGGTAGTCTCCAGATTAGAGATCTAGGCCAGGTGATAAATTTTAGTCATATAGTCCTCATTGTGCTGTACATTCATTTGTCTAATAACATTGTACTCTATCACACTGATTGGTAGATTATGATGATGATGATGATGATGGGGGCTGGGTGGAAAGGGTGTGTATGACATTTTACATTACATTACAGATTTATCTCCGCCCATCTCCCCTAATGGGGAACTCTGGGCAACTCACAAAGTACACCTACAATTACACCTATTCTAATACAACTACAGTTCCAGCTTCCCTGCTCAGGCGCCGCCGGTTCCTCCCACCAAAATGGGAGTACCTATTTATCTACTCGCAGATGGTATGCTTTCGAACTGCTAGGTGGGCAGAAGCTGGGGATGAGTGACGGGGGCTCACCCCGCCACACAGAGCAGGCTCGAACTGCTGGAGTGCTGACCATTTCTGGCCGGCAAGCTCCAGCGTCATTAAGCCCCTGTGCTACCATGTCCACTGTAATTTAGCTTACCTATCACTGACTATGATTTCTTACCCTGATTGGTATGGTGGAAGCAGGGATAATCAAGATGTGTGAATGTGAGTAGTTGGTGGCTACTGAACTGGGATTGGGATACTGAATACAAGGCAGAAGTGTCCCTGATACCTGGATCATCAACCAAGTAGAGGGTTTGATGGGGCCCATTAACATGGGGAGAGATTACCGGGGGGGGGGGGGGGGGGAGAGAATGGACAATGAGTTACAGAGAGAATGTATGTTGGGGATGGGGGTTAAGAGTAGGCAATAAAGGCCAAGTGATGAGATGTACATGGCAAGAGCAAGGAAGTAGACTACTCCTCAGGGGCAAAGCCTCAGTATTTAGTGGTGATCCTATGCTCCAACCCCCTGACTCTACCCCTTTGCCTGGTCATTAGAGCTTAGGTGGTCCTGGTCTCCAGCTGCTGCAACTTAATTCTTGAGGAAGTGGACAGGGTCCATGAGGCTGTAAGTCCAGCCACCTGTATTTTAAATCCATGTCCTTCCTGGCTGGTTGAGGCCTCCCAGGAACTGACATGTTATCAGATCCATGTGGTAAATGCATCCTTGAGAGACGGGATGATTCTGCTGGTTCTGAAGGAGGTGGGGTCTGCCCCCTTCTCAAGAAAACATTGCTCCAACAGAGCTGGATAATTTTCATCTAGTCTGCAACCTTTCCTTATTAAGATGGTCAGGCTACAACTTCAACAGGCCCTGGAGGAAATGGATTATCTGGATCTCTTTAGGTCTGGCTTCAGACCAGGATATTGAGATAGCATTGGTTACACTTTGTGATGACCTGTGGCAGGCTCAAGATGGGGGGAGTGCATTCCTCCTGGTTCTCCTTGATTTCTCAGCAGTCTTTCATACTATCAATCACTGTATTCTTTTGTACTGGCTTAGGGGATTGGAAGCACAGTGTTCTAGTGGTTCTCCTTTTTCCAGGGCCAATTCCAATTGATGTTGATGGGGAAGAGGTCTAGCTCTAAGACCTGCTTTCTAGAGTGTCTCAAGGCTCCTTTCTCTCTTCATTTTAACATCTACATGAAGCGATTGGGTGAGGTCAGCCTCCAGTTTAGTAGTATTAGTATGCTGATGATACTCAGTTGTACATTTCAGCCCCTGGCCAACCAAGTTATGCTATCTCAGGGCTTTCCCCCTGCCTGGGGGCTATAGGAGACTGGATGGGAAGGAACAGACTTTGGCTTAACCCTAACAAGACCAAGTAGCTGTGGATTTTGGGCCTCCTGGGATGTAGAGAATTTCCATCCTTGGTTCTGGGTGGGGTTGCATTCTTCCATTCAGAGCCTGTGAACAACTTGAGAGTCCCCTTGGACTCATTACTCCCACTCAAGATGGCAGCTGTTACTAGAAAGACCTTTTCATTCAGAGCCTGTGAACAACTTGAGAGTCCCCTTGGACTCATTACTCCCACTCAAGATGGCAGCTGTTACTAGAAAGACCTTTTCATTCAGAGCCTGTGAACAACTTGAGAGTCCCCTTGGACTCATTACTCCCACTCAAGATGGCAGCTGTTACTAGAAAGACCTTTTCATTCAGAGCCTGTGAACAACTTGAGAGTCCCCTTGGACTCATTACTCCCACTCAAGATGGCAGCTGTTACTAGAAAGACCTTTTCATTCAGAGCCTGTGAACAACTTGAGAGTCCCCTTGGACTCATTACTCCCACTCAAGATGGCAGCTGTTACTAGAAAGACCTTTTCATTCAGAGCCTGTGAACAACTTGAGAGTCCCCTTGGACTCATTACTCCCACTCAAGATGGCAGCTGTGACTAGAAAGACCTTTGCACAACTCTATCCTGTGCACCAACTGCACCCTTTTCTGGATCAGGAGGTTCTGCTCACGGTCACTTATGCCTTCATCACCTCCCAGTTGAATTTCTGCAATACACTCCTTGAAAACCATTTGGAAGCTACAAGTGGTACAGAATGCAAAGTGCATGTAACAACAGGTGTAGCTCAATACATCCATGTAGCACATCACTACTCTGTGAGCTGTGCTGAGTCCAGATAGCCTTCTAGGTGTAATGCAAGGTGCTGATAATCACCTATAAAGTCCTTCATGGCACAGGGCCAGGTTATTTGCAAGACTGCCTACCTCTGGTTATTTCTGCCCATTCCACAAGGTTGCACAAAGTGGGCATGCTCCAGGTTTCCTCTTTGAGAGAATGTCATTTAATGGGACTCAGGAGACATGCTTTCCTTGTTGCCATGCCTGCCCTCCAGAATGAGCTCCCCCTTCCTGAGGTTCAGATAGTCTTTTGTAGAGCTGTGAAGACCTGGCTTATCTCCCATACATTGGGCCTGGATGGTAGCTGAGCCCATCCTGTTGGAAGAATGAGTGATTGTTATTCCCTGCCTCAGCCATGTATATGTGAATTATTGTAGCTTTTAAGGGAATTTTATATTATTTTTTGTTCAATTTTGATTGATTTAATGTATCCTCCCACCTGTTTATAGAGATTCCTCCTTCTACATTCTCTTTACAGCACCATAATCCAATGAACCCAGAAATAAGTCCCATTAATTTACAGGATGTGTATGATTGCAATGAAAATATGCCACTTGTGTCAGAGAGAAATTACTATTCCACTTACTCTTATATAGATACTAAGGGAAATCTTGATTACAGTTATAAAAATGGCTAATGCTTTCTCAACACTCTAGCTAGATTACCTTTGCTTTGGATCAGTGAACAGCTGAGTGCTTTGATAAATGCACTGAACTTCACAGCTATAAACTGTTATTTGAGCCTTCTGAATTCAATTTGCTTTAAATGCAATCACACAGAAAATATTAATTTTTGTGTTAATTTTGACATGCAAATTCATTTTCTTCTTTTGGACAAGAGAACATTTATTGGAATGTTTCAGTTCCATTTTTAGTTATGAGAAACAAAGAACCAGCATTCAAAATGTATCAGACAGAAATTAGCCATGGACACTGCCAATACAGGTAGTCCCAGTTTAAGAACAAGTTCCGTTCCCAAGGTCTGTCCTTAAGTTAAATTTGTATGTAAGCCGGAACAGTATTATTGTATAATACTGTATAAGTAGTGTTGTGTAATTAACTTGAACCATAACCCGAATTCTGCTACAATAGGCTCTGTTTTTAACTATGGGACATCCTTAAACCTGGTGTTCTTAACCCAGGGAATACCTGTACAAAATTCTAGAAATCCACTTATTATTCAAAACTTAATTGCACAATTTATATTTACTTAACTTTAATGCTGTATTTTAAATCTGTACTGAAGAGATTTTTCAGTACAGATTTTTTTAATTTTTTAAACATTTTTTAAAAAATTTTAACACAATTATTGGCAATATAAACAAGAAAAATAAATAACAAATAAATATGAATATTCTCTGCCTATTTTCTTCCAACTCTCATTGTCTCACCTCCTGCTGAAAATTGCTATTTATGTTTGTTGTTTCTAGAAAACACAATTCATGATATGTCCCTCTTATCAACTCATAATGTAAGTGCTCGCAAGGCTTGACCCAACTAATTTAAATGTTAAACTATGCCTGCTCCTAGTTCTTGTTGGTACCTTGAGTTTCTTTTTTTAGGTCAGACACATATAATCCAGTATTCATTCTATCTATCTATCTATCTATCTATCTATCTATCTATCTATCTATCTATCTATCTATCTATCTATCTA